CAGCCAGCAGCAAGGGGGCTGGGGTATATCTCCCCCTAGCCAGACACTGATGTTTGGGCTGCAGCCTGCGAATCAAGCACCACTGGGGTGGGCTTTCTTCCCAGGCCATGGATGGGCACAATACCAATGGATGCCTGCCCGTCCTCAGCAGATGGCACCATTTCAGATAACTGGGCAGGGGCAACCCCAGTGATTGACCGCCCCAACCAGTTTCAGACCCACTGATGCCCGAACAGGCTCTTGCCCAACCTCAGCTGCAGGGAGCGGCCCAACAAGGGGGGGAACTGCCCCAAGCGGCCACCCAATCGCCACCAGCCCCGCCAGCTCCCACGCCCCATTGATTTCAGGCAACATTTGATGGGACCCCATGGAAACTAGCTTATTTCCTAAATCGAGTCTGGGCGGACGTTGTTCAATTTGGGGATCAGTACCCTTCCAATAGAGAATTGATCTTGGCAATATCAGAAGGGGGAGATGCAGTGTGGATAGCGGAGCTCCACGACGAGGCGGCTCCTGAGTTAGAAGATGCAGACGGGTTTGTCCAACAGAAGAGCAGATCCAGGGATTGCGACAGGCTGGCTGCCCCATGAAGGAGTTAGTTTGCGAGTTTAGGAGAACGGCTGGAAAACTAAGAGACTGGCCAGAAAGACTCCTGGTACACACGTTCAAAAACGCCTTAGACCCTTAACTGAGAAAGGCTTGCAGCATAAGGGGGGTTCCAGAACGGATCCAGAATTGGTACACCACCACAGTCCTTCTGGACCACAATCTTCACCGTCATCGGAAGCCCACTGCAGAAAGACCTTTGGGCTGCTGAATGCAGATGAAGCAAGCTGAGAAGCCTTCCCCCCTCCCCTTAGGGGGGGATAATAAAATGCTACCAGTGTGGTCAACCTGGGCACAGAGCATCGGAGTGCCTGGCTCCAGCCTCAATCCCCCAGCCAAACTAATTACTGACTTGGTAAAGTTGCAGATAGGCTGCCACTATGAATTCCTCAGATTAATCGTACCTCCAAAAATACATGAATCAATTATCTTGGGGCTTGCATGACTGGATAAGTAGACACCTACAATAAAGTGGGAGGATGGCGTTCAGAAATTGATTATAAGCTTTGGGCCGCTACCACCGGTGAAGCCAGAGGTCCATCGGGGTACTATCAAACCCAATAAAGCAGACTGCTCTGAGCCTGCAGCCCCTGCAGCAGACACAAAAACCCCAGGAATCCAGCAAGTACCAAAAGAGTACTGGGACCTGGCAGGGGTTTTCAGTGAGGAAGATTGTAACTATCTCCCCCCTCATCAGCCCACCAATTGCGCAATGGAATTCATACCTGGGGCTACCCTACCAAAGCTGAAAATGTACTCCATGACTCCCAAAGAGATGGTAGAATTAAGAAAGTACATTGACATCAATTTGAAGTGGGGCTTTATTGAACCAGCTAAGTCAGAAGTAGCGGCCCCAGTGCTCTTCAAAGAGAAGAAAGATGGCAAGGTTCGTCTCTGCATTGATCTGCAGGGGATAAACACTGTATGCGTAAAGAACACCTATCCCCTACCCCTCATGAAGGATATGTTGAACCACTTGGTTAAAGGCAAGGTGTTCACCAAACTAGACTTGAGAGAGGCGTATTACCGCATACGTATCAGGGAGGGAGATGAATGGAAGACCGCCTTTAACTGCCCCCTTGGCAGTTTTCAATTCAAAGTTATGCCATTTGGGCTACAAGGGGCCCCTGCAGTCTTCATGCAATACATAAATGAGGTGCTACATGAGCACCTATACCGAGGAGTGCTCGTTTATCTTGATGACATCTTCGTTTTTTCTGAGACCCTAGAAGAGCAAGTGAAGCTGGTACAACAGGTCCTGGAAAAATTTCTAGCTGCCAAGCTATACGCAAAGTTGTCTCAGTGTGAGTGCCACAAAACCTCACTAGATTACCTTGGCTATCGCATCTCCAGCGAGGGGATAGGGATGGATCCAGGAAAAGTGAAAGCTGTGTTAGACTTGAAACCTCCAAGTACTCGCAAACAGCTACAAAACTTCCTTGGATTTGCCAATTTCTACAGGCAATTCATCCCAGCTTTTGCAGAAATTGCCCTGCCATTGACTGAACTGTTAAAGACTGGGCCTTCCCCGACAAAGCCAAAGGCAAACCAACCCCTTGGGTGGACAATCGACTGTCAGAAAGTATTCGAGAAATTAAAACGGCCCTTTGCCCAAGAGCCCATACTGCAACACCCCGACCCAGAACAGCAATTCATAATCCAAACAGATGTGAGTGATGTGGCTNAAGAAAAAGAAAAACTAAGCTTTCCAATTTAAAAAATAGGAAACATTTGCAGAACTTCCATTTGTAAAAAGATAATTTTTAAAAAAGGATAACATGCTAAGTTTAATGTAGCTTAATTTCACCGGTTCTTTTCTTTTGTCTTCAATTTTAATTTAGTTTTAATTTTCTTTGGGTAGTCTCTTTTCTAATAATAAAATTTCCTCACCAATCCGACACACTATTCTCTTCCATTTTCTTTCCGTTCCGGAGCTGTCCCAACTTCAGCAGGTTCAGGGCTGGGTTTCTGTCATCAGGAAAAAAAGCTTCTCCTGGATAAATCAGAGACTCTGCAGTGTCCCTGAGATCAGCAGGGCATACTCTTCTCTATCACTATCTCTTTGGGACAGTTTAGGTCCAAAAGGACCTCCCAGTGGCAGAAATATCAATTGAGATCTTGGAGCGTCAAGATCGCACATCGTATCGTCACGACGTCAGCTCTCTCCCCCCACATCTTTCCACATCTTTCTGAAAACAGTTCGGTTGTAATCATCTGTAAAAAAATGTTTGCTAGAGAAGCTGGGTCCAAAAAGTAGACAGCAAAAGCAGAGAAATCCTGGGTGCAAAAGGTTGATATAGGGAACTGGAAAAGAAGGGGCAGTGGCCAAATGAAAGCTTGTTGACACTTACAGAGAGTGAAAGAATGCTTGCTGGTTTGTTTGGTGGAGTGTATCAGGTGAGGTTGGGAAGTGCTGTGCAAATGAATGCTTGCTGGTTGTTGCTGGGGCTTCCTGGGGTACGGTCCTGGGCTACCAGGAGAGACAGGGATCATCTGGAATGGGTGAGGGCTCTCTGCCATCCTGTGTACGCTTGCTGGGAGCTTCTTGTGCGATGAGGACTTGAGCTGCCCCTTTCTCCCTTTTTTTGCTGTCTTAGAAGCTTTTGTAAGGAGCTCCTCAGCTGCCACCCTTTTCCTAGAAGTTTGAGCTGATGAAGAGCCAGCAGTAGGACTCTCTGGTGGAAGATTACTGCCCCATCTCCTGTGCTGGAAGCCATCATTAGAAGTCAAGCAGAAATAGCCACCCTCAAGGTAAATGCTGGAAAAGAGCCGTTACCATTGGCTTCAAAATGGCGCTTGCTGCTCTTCGCGCCAAAATCAACTGTCACACACTCTCTGCTGGCTTGAAACAGCGCCTGCTGCAATCTCTGAGGGAAACAGCGATCTTCCTGAGAGCTTTCCAGCCCCAGCGCTGTGTTCCTGACAACAACCGCAGGGTTACCATCCTTGGGCTTGTCACCGGGGCAACCTCCAGCAATCCGTTCAAAAGAAGAAGTGTCGGAGCTGCTCCACTGCCTAATACAAGCCTCTGACGATTGCTGAGAGGGAAAAAAGCCTCTGTCGCTTTAAAACGGCTCTCCCAGCCACATGGCTAGGTCCGCAGTGAGGGACAAAGCTCCTTGCTTAATATAAGCACTTCGCCTGTCTGCAAGATCTTAAGAATGGCAGGGATTGAAATATGAAAGTTTTAGAAATAGCCAATTAGTAAGAAAGAACAATATAATCAGAGAAATACAACTACACATCCAGCCCAGAACTGGCTGAGTCTAAAAAGCTGGGGAAGAAAAGCAAGGAGAAAGGCTTTATAATCTGTAAACTCAGCCCTATTGGTTACTGGACAAAGTGAACCCTACATGACTGTTGACTCCAC